GATATATGAAAAAATTAAATATTGTGGACCACAAAAAAGACTAAAAATTAATTAAAGTGGACCGAAAGGAGTATCAAATTAAGTAGAGCTTTTGACAAAGTTAGCTGCTCGGCAAAAACTATAAAACAATCGCCTAGCCGACAATTGCACATCACAACTTGTAGCAAAAAACAAATAAATTATGTTAACCAATATGCCGCCCCGAGCCTCGGCTTTCTTATGCAGAATTATAATTTAGTGTTAGGATAATTTCAGAGATTAACATCGATGAATTATTATGCAGCGGAAGCAATTCCAATATTAAAGTCACATGTAATCTAGACAATTAGTGTATGCGGGGTTTCACGGGTTACCTCTTGAAGCGTGAAAAAAACTCGTTTATCACGTGAGCCTCCAATTCCACAGCAACTTAATGAATTCTCCACCATCCGCACGATCACGGTCTCGGAACGTTCCACGGTCTTCTACTGTGTTACCCAAATAATACCCGAAAATAGTAATTTCGTGTGGGCGAAATTTTCTAGGAAAAAGGGCTGAAAATTTCGGCCACTCTATGACTTCTCTCTCTAGGTTAAAAACTTTATGTATTTATAGCACAAGTTTTAAGGGTTAAAACCCTTTTCCAAAACCTGTTAGGTTTTCCTTTCCACCAGAAAAAGGATTCCTTTATTTCCTATTATTTAGGCACAGCAGGGACCACATAATTTAATTAACAAGGCTCCAATTATGGAATTAATTTCTAATTTTCGAAATTAATATCTACCATAATTAATTACGAATTATTCCACTAAAAATTCGTAATTGCACTCCTTATTCAATTTCAAAATTAATCCATTAAATCTTATTTAACTCCCCATGTTAAGAATCAGATACTAATCAATTAAATTAAATTACTGACAATTTAATTTATTGATTATTTCCTTTAGACTTTCACTTAACTTATTTCATGTGTCGGATACAAAATCCACCGGCCGGGTTTACACATGAAAACTTATAAGCTTTCATAAAGGTGTATCATCAATCTCTATACCGAGACATGGATTCCATCAACTAACTATTACTTTGCCAATGTATATTATTATTATCCATACCAGGCATATTGACCCACGAAAGAATCTCGCCTTTTATAAATCAAAACAATAATAATATACACAACTAATAATAATTATATCAAGATTAAGAGTATAAGTACATTTAGTGGCTAGAGAGTTTATTTTATTAAGTCAGTATAAAATACTTATCTCTACTTGGTCCGTTCAATACATACAAAATGTACTAGTACAAGAAGTTGGAATTAAACCATTCCCATAATTAAGATAAATTATATTTAATCTTGTGCTACAATCATTCCTGATGATTTGTCCAATTCCATCATTAGATTGTGAACTCAAACTTTATACTTATAAGAACCGATGATTTAATCTTCTGTGTATAAGCTAAACTCTATACACTAAATCATCTACTGTATAAGCAAAGGACACCGACTAATATATGATCTATTAAAACTTTATTAAAATTGAATGAACAATATTATCATAATAAATACTATATCTAAACCAAATCCATGGTTAATAGTATATATCCCAACAAACATCCCTTATACTAGTTTTTAATATTACGTTTACTTTATTTATTTTAATTTTTTGTGTAATAATTCTTTTAACTTATTTTTTAGTAATGTAAATAAATAGGAGTATAAGATAAATGTGCCCTTTTCTATATTAAACTCTTGCAATTGATAAATTCTATCAAACTAACGTATTTAACAAATTCTTTAAGGATAACAATCACAGTAACAGTCCAATCTATCAATACTCAATATCTGTCACCCACCAACGACCACCCCTCCCCCCACCAAGAAAAGAGGAGAAAACAAAACCCAACAAACAACAACATAAATTTATGGAACATAAAGATATGAACTCTTGAATCTTTTTCTAGATAAGGGAGACAATTTATACGTATAATTATACAAAATAGGCTGTCACTATACAATTTATATATAGTAAACTGTAACTATACAAAATATATACAAAATAGATTGTCACTATACAAACAATTATACAAAATAGACTGCTACTATATAATTTATATACAATAGACTGTCACTATACCAAAAATATACAAAATAGACTGTCACTATACAAAAGATATACAAAATATACTGCCACTTACAAAAAATGTCCAAAATAGATATTTCGGACTATTAGATATAATATGTTTGGATCACAAGAACATTTTGTGTCAATAAAAAAACATAGGCTATTCACATTTTAAGGGGATATAGAGGGTTATTTTCTCAATTAAGGACTTGAGCTTTTGTGCAACTTTGTACGAAACTAGGGAGCCTTCGAGTCGGTGGGAGTGACGGAAACCTTGATAGCCCATTTGACACAAAAGGGACTTTTGGGTGGTCTTTGCCTAAAATTTACGGTATTTAAAAATTGACCTCGTACACGCACAAGTTCTTCCAAGGTTTTTTTATCGGATTAAATTGTTCATCAAAATTTATCGGATTATCATACTTTTGCTTTACAAGATTTTTCTACCAATCCGGTAGAGTTAATGCTATTATTACTCTACCTATATGTAAAGTTGTTCATTGAAGTCTACCGAATTGTCATACTTTTGCTCTTGAGGGATTTCTCTACTGGGTCAGTAGAGTTGATGCTATATTTGTCAACATATCTATCAAGTTTTCCATCAAAGTCTACCGAATTGACATACTTTTCTTGGATGTTATAACGATGTGTTCTTCGAATTTGCAACTTCAATTTCAGTCAAACCACTTCAAATCTGCTCCAAATAATCTCAAATTTGAAACAAAGCTTCCAAACACTAACACAAATAATCCTCAATCACCAATTTAATCGAATAATACCAAATCAATACTTTCTAAGGTCCAACAATGGAATTTTGAGATTTTTATAAGAGCAAAAAACATAATTAACCAATATTTAATAAAATTTTACAGACTTCCAGCAGCAATAAGTAATTAACAGATATGGCAACTAATTAACTACATTCCTAGCCAAAACCTATAATATTGGACCATGAGTCACATTTCAGTTACTAAATTATCGGAAACGATTCAATTTCTAATTAATTATATTCCATATTTCACGCTTGAGACAAACTGGGATCTCTATGATTCCTTTCCATTCATAGGAGTTATTTACAAATAAACTTGGTATAAAGCATGTATAAAGCAATCAACAGTTGAGAAAACAATCAAAATATTGAAATTATACATATTGAATATAATAGGTATATTGATATATAGTACCACTAAGAATTGAAAAGTAAGAACAATAAGATAAAATATATTAAAAGAAAATACTTTAAAATATTGATTAATATTTGAAGTGTATCCAAGGCGTTGGAAATAAGTTCAATATAACACCAAAGAATTTGGAATTTAGCAGGTATAATAATAATGATATAAAGAGAATATATATTTATGGAATAATTCTGTTATATACATCTTTACTTATCACTATTTCATTATATAATTGGTATAAGAATGGTATAATTATAAAAAATGTGGTTTTGTTCTTTAATGCATTTATATTTCAATTATTTTGAATTTATTGCAAGAATATGACTCCCACAGGATTGATTCATAGTATATTGCATATATAATTAATATATAATTATATAAAAGATATAATAATGGATAATTTTATTGAATATTCATGGGATAATTCTAGCGTTTTAATTATACAAATAATAATTGTATCATGTATATTGCATCCGTGTTTATGAATTTACTTAGAAATATTTTTTTGGTATATTTACATAATAATTCTGGTATTTACGTATTAGCAATATTTAATTATATAAATGGCACAGGTATACTTAATTTTTTTTTCAAGCACAAAGGCAACAATTGAGGGCGGGAGAAATAAGAAACAAAGTAGTAAAAGAAAGAAGCTGGGTGCTTAATTAGCCAAAAAAAAAAAAAAAAAAAAAAATGAGGAAGAACGGATGCGGGGTTTGTGTTGTGGGTGGGTGGGTTGCAACAAAGTATACGTTAATAAGGTTCAAAATACATCCCTAAATTAGTGGGTCTTCGTTTATTTTTAAAACCTACGGTTAAATGCTGTAAGTGTAAAAAAATCTTCCATTTATGTAATAAGTAAACAATACTAATATTTTCTTAAATATTTTTTAAAAAGTGCTCAGCCATGTATATTTCTCTTTATATTATAACAAATCACCAAAATACGTATCCAAACTAAAAGTTTAAGCACAACTTATCAATATTCAAATGATTTTAACAATAAATCGACTATTAACTATTATTTTTCACTATCAAATAAGAATTTCAAGCTTTAAAAATTAAAGAACTACGGTGTTCAAGTAAAAATGGGACGTTTTGCTAAGACCATAAAAATGAAAAAATTCCGATGAGATCATCCCTTCGCCGTGCTAATTTTCGAGTGAAGCTCGGCGAGGAGGTACCACCGCAGTAGAGCTATCAAAATGGGCTAACCCAGCCCGGCCCAGCCATATGTCCCAACATGCTTTTCGACAACCTCAACACAAAATTTATATGGGCAAGGAGATACTGGATCTTCTATAATCTCGCAAGAAGTTTAGGCCTTGATATAGCTAAAAGTGTTTACAAAAAGGGTTCAAATATAAATACACTATTAGTGCAAACTAACAAGATAGAGCAAGTTATTACTCTATTTTTAAGTTATCGTATCAGACCTGCTATGAAGAGTTACATATTGTTGTAGGTTAATTTAAGATGGTGTAAGAGTGTATAAGTACATAAAACATAAACTCCAATGTAAAACAACTGAGCCTTATAGTTCAGCATGACTATTATCACTAATACTTTTGGATCAAACACTATCATGGTTTGTAGTCCTTGTACCTGAATATCTTCTGAAGCAGTAATATAATTCACACACACACACACACACACAGACCCCGAATATTTTCTGAAGCAGTGATATATATAATACACACACAACACTAAGCCGAAAATGTTAACAACTCACCTTACAACTTTCATTTTTTGTAGACCCAACTGTCCACAGCAAAACAATAAAAATGTTCAAACAAGAAATCTTATAGAATAAGTGACAAATGTACTGACAACAAAAACATGAGATGAAGCTGTTTAAACCACATGTACATCTGTCAAACAGAGCTTAAGACTAAGATATCCACAATGTTCTTCTAATCAGTGCCAGTACTTAGGTAATAAGTTATTGCCATCAAAACTTAATAGCAGAACAAATGTGAGGTTGATAGAGGACTCTGAACCCCTTTCTGACACTTATTTGGCCTAAATCAGGACTTCTATACTATACAGCAGAGACACATATATTGTACAACAGGGAAATGGGGTTGCCCGAGAGATGTGGAAGAAATTCCAGACAAAACCACCTGATCAATTAGAGAATATGGCACTAAATGTGCTGAGCCAAATGGCCGGATTAGCCACTCGCTTCTCCACCTTGTAGCTATCGTAACTCCTCACGTATGATCGATCACCTGTTAGCAAGTGAAAGAACCAAAAGTTATGAAATTTCCAAAAGAAACATGATATGCAGGAGAAACAGCAACTTTCAACGGCTCATTCTCTAATGCTTACTTTCACCAGTTAACCATGACAGACATAACAATGACATATCAGCATATCTTTAACTAGTGCGATTCATGGTACTCATGTTTGTCTGTGCTACATGCAACACTAATGCCCACGTTAAAATAGGAATGCCATTCATTCCCTCATTTTATTTTTTCCGACGAACGTTTTTTTTCTTCTGATGATTCAAGATTTTTTAAGTATCTTACCCTGTTTGAGAAAGCCGCTGCCAGTTCATTAGCTGGTGAGACTGTGGATGCCTTTGCAAGTAAGATGAACTGGTCCCAATACCATTGTCATCACCAACATATTGGTCGGAATAATTAGTACTTGAGGGAGACCATACAGGAACTACACCCCCGTCCCTTTCTCTAGTACTACTGGAAGATTCTGCTGTAGAATCTTCAGAATTTCTCCTACCAACCACAAAATTAAACTGTGGCGGAGTGGCGTTTGTTCGAGCTGGTTGTGTGACGGCTTGGTCGAGTGTGTCTCTCCTAGGACCTTCAGTTACATTGACGTCGTTTGGAACTTCTGCTCTAGTGTCCACTACTGAATTTCTGATATTCACTGAGGTTTCTTCATCATCAACTCTGAACAAAGACGATGTCATGCTTGGGACCATCTGATCTTCATAGCGTCGAACAGTAACTATAACGGGGTTATTGTTCCTAACTGGTTCGTGGTCCATTTCCATATGCATGGCTTGAGGGAATGCTATTGGGGAGTCAGCAGAGTCGCCGTGTCCTTCTTCCATACCATTCTCAATCGCAGCTCGTGAAGCTGCTTCGTGCTGCCACATTTGTGTTAGGGCTTGTTCTAGTCTTACTTTTGCTGCATCAATTTCGACGATGGGAAGAGGATAATTGGAACCCAGCTCAATGCCAGCAGCTTCAAGTACAGATTCTGGTGCATTCCACGGGTGGTGTATCCATTCAGTGGGAAGCCTAGACAGTTCAGGAAGCCACCGTCGCACATATTCCCCATGAGGGTCACACTTGTATCCCACGAACTGCAAGAAACAGGTTCCAATAACTAGTCAGCCTTATTCAACTAAAGTTACATCAGAAAACAAGAAGGAAAAAAGATAAAGAGAGTAAAAACTGCAGTCTCCCTTTTGTTTTACATGAAAAAACAAGAACAGAAAACAGAAGAAATGATACAGTAAAACTGAGGTCTGTCCTATTCAATTCTCATCAGTCTTTCTTTACATTACTTGTGCATAATAGATAGAAATTCAAACTTCATGTTCGCGCGGAAAAGATAAAAAAGTACTCTCGAGGTTTAACTTTTTGGTGAACTTTTCCATGTACAACTAAATGAAAATCTAAGATTATCTTCATGTGGTTAGAATGCAATTCCTCCAGAAAGTGAAATGCAAGGTCTAGTGAGTAATTATTATTCAGGTTTAAGCATGCCTTAGAAGATCAAGCAGAAGCCAAAGCTTGTATAGAGCAGCATCTTATGCAAGGGACGCTTGCAAGAACTACCGACACTAGAAATTAAAGCATAGGTTAATGCAGAAGACAAGCCAGATTCCTTAGATTGAAAAGATTCTCATATCAACTCAATACGAAAAGAAGCTCACAAGCACAGTACTAATATCTCAGGATATAAAAGAATCACGATTTGCAATTTCACACTCACAAACACATTTCATCTTAGCTTTAGCACTTTGTGGTTGTTGAATGCCAAAGCAAGAAGATTGAAGCCCATGAGATGTTCATGGAATGTCTACTTGCAGGTCAGTGCCTTGCTACTAACTTACAATCGAAAAAATAACAATAACCACAACGTGGAGCGCTTTAAATATTTAAAGTATAGACTAGTCTTAGAGCTATTAGAATTGTCCATGACAGGATGAAAGGTCTATAACTGGTGAGTCAGTAACTTCTACTATGTTTAAAGTTTTGAAAATTTTAAATGAAAGAAGAGATTCTCCCTAAAAAAAATTACCGCGACATACCTGTGGATTATCAATTCGATCAAACTCACGACCATCAGGTAGGGTACCAGAGATATATTGCCAACCAAGAGCATCACTCTCAAGATCTGCATCTAACAATGTGTCCCAAAAATACTTCATTCCCCACCTCCACGGAAGCTGCAGAACCTTCACAAAGAAACTAGATACCACGACTCTGATACGATCATGTAGCCAGCCCGTTGCCCATAACTCTCTCATACCAGCATCAACCAAAGGATAACCTGTTCTACCTTGCCTCCACGCCTTAAAATAACCCTCATCCACTACCCATGGAAAGTACCTTAGGTGACCAAGCAGCGGCCTTTCATGGCTATAAGGATGATTAAAACTCATGTATCTGGAGTATTCCCTAAGTCCTATGGACTTGAGGAACAAATTGACACTCTCTTCACCAGCTCTATTTCCTTCATTGGCCCAGAGAACTTGTTTGATGCGAACAAAATGGAATACCTTACGAACGCTGACTTCCCCAAAGTGTAAATGTGGAGACAGAAAGGAAGTCGTCGCACTATCAGCTTTCCTGCGGTTCTGTGAGTATTCAAGTAATGGTCCATTAACGAAAGTAGTTAGTGCTTTATCAGCATTGCTCCACCCTGGTGACCATGCTCGAGCAAGAAGTGCATTGCTTCCTTTCTCTGATTCATCTTCAAATACCAAGCTGTCCGAAGAGCATCTTGATGCATCACCTAAAAGTTTGCAGATCACCAAATGTAAAAAAGGTAAACTCTAAACCAGTACCCTTATAAGTGCATTAATATAATTATAGGAATTTGTTTCGATCCTTAGCTTATTACTGACAGCTCGAACATCTACATGTTCAGAGTCGCCTTTTCCATTTTCGAAGGACTTCAATATCTGCCAACAAGCACATTATGCACCACATAGTGATTCTCGGAGCTTAGAGCTGCCTTGCGACAGGTTCATTTCAGTGGAATGGCATTACTTTAATCTGACAGCTAATATATCTATTACCTTGAGGAAGATCTCCCTATTTGTATACTTCTTTGATGGAACATAACAGTAAGCAAAAGCACCATATTTTAAACAGAATATGTACAAATAAGAGCAGAAATTTTATCCGGAAAGGCAATAAGAGATAGGGGAAGCTCAAAAGGAGAACAAACCAGGTATTATCCTTTTAGGAGGGAGAAGTGGAGCTTCAGGATCATAAGGCATGCTAAGGCATTTTTCCCAAAAAGCAGAAAATGTTGTGAACGGGCGACCTTCTTCATCATTAACTTCCCATGGTTCATAGAGCAAATCGGCATTAAAGGAGCGCACAGATATACCTTGAGCTGTTAACATTTCTTTTGCGCGATGATCTCTAACAAGTGAAATTGGATCTAAAGCAAAAGAAATATAGGTGTTGGTCAGGATAAGGCAGTGGATGAAAATGGCTGTGTTCTACTCCTGATACTGAAATGACATGCTTAAAATAAAAGCCATCCATTTCTATTAACAATTTACCATTCAACTGTCATATCAAATGTTTAGCAATACCCTTTCTGTTTCTATATATCAAATAATAAGGATATGTAATATGTTTAGTACAACAAATCCAGATTACTGTGATTCTGATACAAGCACTGTACCTTAATTTCATTAGTTAATTAGGAAAGCATATGGCAATAATTTATTATTTACACAGAAGACAATTCATTATCTTATTCTTAAAGGACATACATACAACAAGCACCAATCTCAATTAAAGCCATCCCAAAATAATATATTAAACTTTTAAAACAACATAAAAAATAGGAAAAGAATAATCAAGTCAAACAGAATAATTAAATACTATAAAAGGGAATTCGTTTTTGTAGAGAAACAGAACTGACCATATAAATGATTGAAGAAAAGCTGAGTAGCACCAGTAGATTTGACAATTTCAAGAAGAGAAGAAATACTATCAGTAGATCTTTTAGTAACAAGAGAAGTGCCAAGACTCTTTAAAGATGAATCAAGATGAGCCAAACTTTGTTTAAGCCACCATCTTGAAACTCTACCAGGATAATAATGACCTTCTTCTTCAGGAGCCCATATAAACACTGCAATTACTGCTCCTGCTCTTACTCCTGCAGCTAAAGCTGGATTATCTTCTACTCTCAGATCCCTTCTAAACCATACTATGCTACAACCACCACCTGACATCTTCTTTCAACAACCTCAACACCAACCACAACTCTCTCTCTCTCTCTATATATATATTTTTTTCTCTCTATGTAAACACCATGTTAATGTGTCTTTTCTTGGATAGAAGAATAATGGGATTAATCTTATCTCTTTTTTTCACTGCTTCCTGTAGCTTTCACTAAGGAGATAATGATTACAAACCACAATCAACAAAAAAAAAAGTGAACTTTATAGTAAAGAACCTATCTTTAACTTCCCTAGATGTTATCTCTACGTACAAGAACTTAATTCTCTCAATTCTTGAGTGAATTATGCTATTCTGAACAAGTTACAACAAAAAAAATAAAAATAGGTTCTAGAGAGAGAGAAGGAGAGGAGAAAGAGAGAGTGAATGTGATTGGTTAAGGTGGTGGGGTAACAAGAGAAGTTATGAGCAAATTGCAGCCACTACTTTATTGTTTTTTGTCTAGATTTTATTTTTTATATCTTCTTTCCTATCCTAAGAAGGAAACAAAATTCCACACAAGCTTCTCATCTAGTGCCTTCCCTAATCCTCTCTCTCTTTTGACAGGGTGGAAAATTCTTTGTTAAATTTAAGATTGGCTTTCTTATGTACAATAAAGTTATAAAATTTAGATGTTTGATTATCATGAATTATTGCAAATTGACACTGATTTGGGTGCTTATGTTTTAATCAGACAATGGGACATCATAAAATGAAATGACATTGTGTTCCTTATCTATAATGGATTTTAAAGTCATAATATAACATATGTTTAGCCTAATAATGTAGTTTAACACATAGGCATATTCAAGATTTAAGTTTTAAGGGCTCGTTTCGTACGCGGATTAAAGGATGATTAATTCCAAGATAGAGAATTGAAATGAGTTTACACCATGTTTGGTTGGGAACATGATTAGTTATCCCGGAATTTTAGTATTATTTTTATTCCTATAGGAGGGTGGGATAACAATACTGGGATAACTAATCCCGGCATAATTAACCCTGGAATAACTTATTTCCCAACCAAATTACCCCTAAGGGTTCAACCTTTAAGGTTCTAAGCGTTAAACTTATTGTATTTTAAAAACAATAGGTTCGTATTTATTATAATTTTGGTGAATATTTATAAATAAATTTATGTTCCGTATCAAAATACTAGATTCAGATGAACTCGATGTAGAAACACTTCATTCGCCTATGATTTAACATGCTCTGACAAGTCACTTACAATTATAAACGAATGCTTATTAATTAAAATTACAATTCAATATTTCTTACACGATCATTTAAAGTCATGAAAAACTTTATTATAGCATTTAGCAGTAAAAGTGGGAAAGTTTGATTCACAGGAACTTTATTGGTGGCATCTGATTCTAGATTACCAAAGATTGTTACTCCAATATAATGTGAATGTGATAATAATGTAGGGATTGTCTGTCTATAGTGTAAGTTGGGGAGTTGGAAGGGGACAGCAAACATGGAGAAGAGATAGGTGTGCTGACTATATCGGATTTCGTATTTTTTCTAAAGGGTAGGCCTTTTCTTCTTTTTGTGAACGGGGCATTAGATTCCGTTCATCTGTTGCTATTGTAATTGTAATCGTAATGTGGGCACTCCCCCACCTTTTCTCCTTACTGCTACTTTCACATGCTCTTGTATTCTCTTACTATTTATTATTATCAGATCCGTTGTGGAAGGGAGCTTTAAAGTTATTGTCATGTGATCAGGAGGTCACGGGTCGAACCGTAAAAACAGATTCTTGCAGAAATGTAAGGTAACGTACAATAGACCCTTGTGGTCCGGACCTTCTTTTGACCCCGCACTTAGTTTAAACTTAATGCACCTGACTACCCTTTTATTATCGATCAGCTGCAAAATTAGTGGAAGTAAAGTTGCGCAGTATTTTATACAGGAGTGCCAATTTATAAGATCATGTCGATTTTAAAGTCTTATATTTTATCCAAGTTATATTATTTTATATTATTTTTATATTTTTAAAAAATAAAAAACATATCTGCAATAGGATGACTTTTTTTTTTTAATGAATATCTCCGCCACTGGTATCTAACTATCTGGTACGCATTTATTTTGTTGAATGGTGTATTGGTCAGAAATCTGATCACCCCGACCGACGCGACCACGACTCTGTTTCAGTCACCGTATGAAAGAAGTCAACGGAAACATTTTGACTCCATCACCGCGACATTCTCCACAAGTGACGAGTACGCCCCTCACCTCGACCAGTAGGCTTCCACAATTCTGACAAGAAGTTATGGCTAAGGAAAAAGCAGGTTTCTTCCGACTATAAATATGAAGTGAAGGGAACACAGAAGGGGGGGACTTCTCACCGGCTTCTTCTCCAAAAACTCCAATAAGTCAGATGGGAGATAACAGAACTCCACGAGAAGGAAAAGGAAGCTCCATCTAGAGAGGAAGAGAGAGAAACACAATGATTGTAATTCCTTTCCCCTCCAAGGAGGGGCAGGGCAAAGCTTCATCATAAATAAAACATTTTCGATGCTTCCTCCATTTTTGTATTTAAATGCCATTTCTTTACCTTTAGATCCGATACGAATTATGGTTGACTATGATTTACCCCTTATCTCTTTGATTGATTTGCTTAAAAAGAGCTTAACATCTTTTGAGTCAAACAATTTGGTGCCGTCTGTGGGGATTTCCTAGTGAAAACGCCTAGTTCTCTTTTCGGATCAAAGCCAAAGAAACGTGAGAAGAGCATCCAGCTCACATCTGATTTGAAGGCAGCGCGTGGAGAAAAGGAAAATCGAACGAGCCAGTGAGGACTAGAATTTCCTACCCTACCAGCCCCAAACACTCCGAACAAGGCTAAAGGTGCCGCAATCAAAACCACCGGGCAGGGATAAGGAACATCTCATCCTCATCTCCCGTAGTTCACCAAATCGGACGCCGGTGCAGGGATTCCCCGGTCGAAGAACCAAAGATCATCTTAGCACAGTCGAAACCCTCTCGGTTGATGGCGTCTTCAAAATAAACAGCCAGCCGTGCGAGAAGCTGTTACAGGCGTACCATACAGGTCCGAACGAAATGTCAGCACCTGGTGTCCGCAGCGCTGAAACCATCGATGCGAGCAATGCCTGCCAAACTGGGACTAAGGCCAAGGGCCTTCGCCATCAAAGATTCAGATGTTCGACCTCGCTCGAACTCGAGACGGGCTGTTATTTCGATAAGTTCGAAATAACGCCCTTAAGGCCAAGGGCCTTCGCCATCAAAGATTCAAAGGTTCGACCTCGCTCGAACTCAACACGGGTCGTTATTTCGATAAGTTCGAAATAACACCCTTAAGGCCAAAGGCCTTCGCCATCAAAGATCCAAAGGTTCGACCTCGCTCGAACTCAACACGGGTCGTTATTTCGATAAGTTCGAAATAACACCCTTAAGGCTAAGGCCTTCGCCATCAAAGATCGACATGTTCGACCTCGTTCGAACTCAGATGGGCTAGTATTTTGATAAGTTCGAAATAACACCCTTAAGGCTGAGGCCTTCGCCATCAAAGATCGACATGTTCGACCTCGTTCGAACTGGGACTTAAGGATAAATACCTTCGCCCTCGAAGATCGACAGACAAGGGAACAATAGTATAACGACNCGTTCGAACTCAGACGGGCTGATGGTTCGATAAGTTCGAAATAACACCCTTAAGGCTAAGGCCTTCGCCATCAAAGATCGACATGTTCGACCTCGTTCGAACTCAGACGGGCTGATGTTTCGATAAGTTCGAAATAACACCCTTAAGGCTAAGGCCTTCGCCATCAAAGATCGACATGTTCGACCTCGTTCGAACTCAGA